TCTTTGGAAACCTTTACAATACAAAGCCTTCAAATTCCATTTATCTCATGTCACTATCCCCAATTCTACATCGTGGAGTGTCTTCAAGGATATTAGTTGAAATTAACACCATACTTAGGCTGTTGATTCGGAAGAAACAGTCCAAAGAACTTCTCATACTCAGGATTCTTCTGGTTCTCATCGTACATGGCGAATATATAAGTCTCTATAGCTCTCCCTGGCCTCCTCGGAGATCCAGTCTTCACAGTTTGTATCAAATTGTTCACATAAATCCTTGCATTATCCACAGTCGTCGCGGTTCCTCCCGCGGTCGGCCAGCCGCTTTCCGACACTACGATCTCCACCGATCCGCCTCCTGTTTTCTCCAATGCTGCGTAGACAGTGTCTAGGAGTGCGTGGAAGAGGTTTCGGTATGAGTTTGATCCGTCAGTGACTACAGTGGACTGTGAAGTGAACAGAGCGTACTCTAAACGAATGTCTCTCATGTTGTTAATGTAGCTGAAGTAAGGGTAGATATTCACGAGCAGAGGAGATTGCTTGCTTGCCAAGAAACCGATAATCGGCGCAATGAAGTTCCGAAATTCTGGTGTGAACACCCCTTGTGAGGGTGGAAATCCACTAATTCCTCTGGTGTCTATGGCTGTTGAGACCTTGATTCCAAGTCCTGAAACCGCTCTCTCGATGTTCTGCATCGCGGGGAGGACAAACCTAGAGGTTGGGTCCGAGGGTTGCACCTCGTTCCCGACCGCTATGTAGCGGAATCTGACACCACTGTTTGCGTAGTTGCGGACGTTGTCGTTGACCCACCTGTCGGCTTCAGCTTGACTTGAGGCGACACGCTGGAGATCAGGGTTGGGAACATCGAGCAGAAGCTCGATGTTTGAGCCGCGGAGAGCGGCGAGAGTTTCTTGGTTTGGGTCGTAAAGCCGCATCCGCCGGATGTTTCGTTGCCGGAAAAGCCCCACCGTGTCCGCTGGACGTGGCAAGTTGTTTCCAAGTCTCCCGTAGCACACTCCGATTTGCCCAACTTCAATGTCAAAATATAAATCATTAGTGCAAAATATATAATTAAATCAAATTCTCAAAACGATATGTATATCTAAAGAGATTAATATGATATATAATCTATAGAGTAAGAGATGATTAAACCTGTCGTGTCGAAGAAGGAAGCCATTAGGAAGCTAAGAAGAAGTAGCAACGGTGGTAGTGAGGCTAAGAAACTCGATTCATTAGACATCTTTATGAAATAACAATTGAAAGATGATGTGAAGATATTATTTATTGTTATGCTTACAACTTTATATATTTAAAATCGTAGCACTTTGCGCCTAATTTATAGAGGTGAATCGGTGATTCAAGTCAATGAAATGAAACAAAGTCACTGCATCACATCATCAGTTTTGGAACGTTACACATTAAATCATACAATTCACCGATATCTCTCTGGATCTACCTATGCTTTGAAAAGTCTAAGAATGTGAGTTTTCTATACAAGTAGCTTTCCAATAGGGCCTAACTAGCTAGACACTAAAATCTTGATGGTAAATGGGACGAATCCTCCACATAGTCCCAAAATGAAATACTCAAAATTCAGTGAATATAATACATTTGTTTAGAAAATAGGATCAAACTATCTCCAT